AACCTGAAGGGGGAATTTTTTTTTTTTTTTTTTTTGGTGAGGAAGATAAGCCCTGAGCTAACATCCATGCCAATCCTTCTTCTTTTTGCTGAGAAAGAAGACTGGCCCTGGGCTAACATCTGTGCCTATCTTCCTCCCCTTTATATGGGACACCGCCACAGCATGGCCTGACAAGTGGTGCCTCGCTGGGCACCCGGGATCCAAACCTGGGCCACCAGCAGCAGAGTGCACGCACTTAACTGCTACGCCCCGGGGCTGGCCCTGAAGCAGGGATTTATGGCAGAAGTTTCTGCTATTAGTCAGATAAGGGAAGCTCCAAGAAGGCTTCTTTCTGCATTTGTTGAATCCAAAATGTTTTCAGCTTTAAAATAATCTTAATACCAACTCTAGGGTTCGAGTAAGTCTCCACAATACCAAATTTGGAGATATTTTGAAGTTAAGATAATCCCTGCTTTTAGATAGAGTGGGTTTTGTGTGTTTAAATTGAAGCAGTGCCATAGGCTCAACATTGACAATTATGGATATCCATTATATCAGTAATATCCTATCCACATATATTCTGTTCTGCTCTTTGTTCAGCTACTGAGAGAAAATGCCCACAAGTGGGAAAAGGGAATCAGAGGTCTCTATTAAGCATTGTTGAATAAGTAGGATAGAATAAATCAAGATTCTACTAGAAATACAGAACTAGGAGGATATATCAGGGATTTATTACAAGAAATTGGCTTACAGTTGTGGGGGCTGGCTAAGCAAGACTAAAGTCTATAGGGTAGACAGAAGGGGGTGATCATGAGCAGGCTGGAACCCCATGGGCATGTGCTTGTCCACAGGCCAGTCAGGAAGGAAGATCCAAGTGGAAGGGAGAGTAATTACAGACCCAGCTGCTGTTTGAGTCTCTTCTTCAGAGAAGGCCTAAACACTCTTTTAAAGGCCTTCCAACTGAGTAAATCCAGCCACCCAGGACAATCTCCCTTTTGATTAATTTAAAGTCAGTGGATTAGGGACTTTATTTATTTTTTATTTTTTATTTTATTTTTTATTTTTTAAGATTTTATTTATTTATTTTTTCCCCCCAAAGCCCCAGTAGATAGTTGTATGCCATAGCTGCACATCCTTCTAGTTGCTGTATGTGGGACTCGGCCTCAGGATGGACAGAAAAGTGGTGCCTCAGTGCGTGCCCGGGATCCGAACCCGGGCTACCAGCATTGGAGCACGCTCACTTAACCACCAAGCCACGGGGCTGGCCCAGGGACTTTAATCACATCTACAAAATCCCTTCACAGCAGCACCTAAATTAGTGTTTGATTGAATAACTGGATTGAATAACTGGGAGAAGGTGTGTGCTACCAAATGGTAGCTGACTCCCTTCTGTCTTTCAGCTCTCAAGAGAGAATATCCCTTGTCTTCTCCCTTAGTAAGAAACATAGTAGAAAGGGAATTCTGGGGACTGTAGTTCAATCCAGCCAAGTTGGCATATCAGAAAACCATCACAGATAATAAAATGTCATGGTAAAAAATAGATGTTACTTTATTTTTTTTTTTTTTTTTT